GCAGGTACGGGGATGCTTAGGGCAGCGCCTCAGCCCTGTGCCCTGCGTTATCCATCTATGCTGATCTTTTTATATCTATCTATCTATCTATCTCATATACATATATATCTCATATTCATATTTCAGTATTTGATATGTATAGATGTATATATCATAGAACTTTAGATGTTGGAATGGACCTTAAAGATCATCCAGTCCCAACCCCCTGCCCTGGGCAGAGACACCTCCCACCAGACAAGTTTGCTCAAGGCTTTATCCAACCTGTCCTTTCTGACATCCAGTTTGAACTGAAATGAATGCACTGTCCTTAGCCCGTGCCTCCAGTATCAGATTTTGATTATGAATACTGAATGCACATGGTTGTTAGGACTTGTCTATTAAATGTAGTATTTCTGTCGTGAATAATTAGAGTAGTTCAGCCTATATGTGGCATTCAGTGTCTTTCCCAGTGTATATTTATTTGGTTCTCCGTGTTCACAGGTGTTTCAGACCAGTGGAGATGCAGATCCACTTCTTGTCAACCTAATGTTCTGCATTTCATTTCTTGCAGCTATGCCTTGTACTTCTCTTCCAGCAGTGATGAGGAATTTGAAATGTGTAAGTGATAGCACATTGGTTTCTTTCCTAAAGGAGTACTAAAATGACAGGTTTTTGTCTAGTACTAGTCAAGTGGTTTTACACCTTACTTTTTTTTACTGCTCCTGCTGCAAATTTCTACTTGCAGAACCTTTCTATTGCCTTTCAGTCACTATAGTACCAGTCTGTCTATATGTTGTGATTTGTGTTGCCTAGTGGAATAAGCATATGGACACCTCTTTGCAGTAGGAAAACTATCTGCAGTCATTAAAATGCTTGGAGTAAACACTGATAAACCTATTCAATTCTAGCTTCAGGATCCACATGTATGATGATGATAGTGCAAGATAAATAGCATTTCTTATCTGGCTTTGTGATAGGCAAGGAGTGAATAATGAAAGAAATGCTAGAAAACTGCTGCCAGCTGCGTTGGGATTATATGTAAAGGATTCTTATGTCGGGTTTTTATAAGGGTTAGGCCAAATTTTTACTAGTTGCAAACTTTTCTCTTTAAAGTGTATAATAAAAGTAGCAGAAACTTGTTCTTAATTAATCTTCTCTTGTTTCAGTTTTAGCTAGAATGAAAACTCCCAAACATGTTCCTAAAAAGGCAGATGCAAGGTGGGTGCTCTAATGAATGATTTTTCTATGTTCATTTCTTAGTTTGCTGTGCCATATTTACTAATCAGAAGACAGAAAAACAGTCAGAAGTAATGAATCATAGGCAGATACTGGTATGGGAATGAGTGCAGTTGGAACTGTTATATGTTCAGGACAAATGTCAAACGGGATATTTGGAGGTGCATCTGCTCCTTTGCCACTCCTGTTTATGGATGTAGTGGGTAACATTTGCTGTGAGCAAAAAGAATGTTATATTGAGTGTCTTTTTTTTGGGTTGCCTTTTTTTTTTTAAGGCAAACTTGCTCCTATGTTTTCCTTTTCACTTCTGCCTTTTTTGTTCTATTATTTGCTTATTTGTTGTTTGGTTTTTTAATAGCTTGAATGACTTCATTGATGACTCAGATGATTTCTTCTTGGACTTGAAAGTGAGAAAGAGCACAACAGAGAATGGCAAGTAATTGTCCAACAGTAAATATGAAGCAGG